TTAATGTGTAACCTGTCGAAACTCTGTCGATTGATTTCTGGAGGAGTTTCTCCCGAAACCTTATGTAGGACTGATACTTGCATTTTGTATTAGTATAACAGTATATTTTGGACAACTATTTATTAAATACATTCCTGCAATAGTTGTAGTTACAATGATTGTTTATTTGGGACTGGAGTTGATAGGAAAAGCATTGATAGCTTCATGGAAGTTTTCTGATAATTATGAAAACTTCAATATGATAATCATAATAGTTGCAATAATGACTATTGGATTTGTTGAAGGAATAGTTATAGGAATAATGCTCTCATATATATTTTTTCTGGCATCCAATTATAAAAGAGGAAAAATGGCTCCTAGCAATTCAGCTAGATCTTCTGTTCGGAGGCATTACCGTGATCAACAATTTCTCAAAGAAGTTGGTGGTAGTCAAATCCATGCAAGGATGTTACAAGGCTATATGTTTTATGGAACAATGAAAGGAATTGAAGATGATATAAAGGAATTCCTGATTGATTGTGAACAGAATTCAAAGCCAATTAGATTCTTAATTTTGAACATGTGTGATGTTACTGGATTTGGGATTAATGCTGTCCAAGTGCTTGAAAACATTCAAAAATATCTTCAACGTCAAAAAATATACTTTGTAATCTGTGGAATATCATTACATGGCTCTGAGCAAGTTTATAAACCATTGAAGAAATTGTCATTTTGGAAAGATTCACATAATGACTATGTAAAGGTTTTTAGTAAATATAATGAGGCACTTGAATGGTGTGAGGATTCACTCCTGGAAACTCATTATGCTAAACACAAATTATTGTTCAATAATAACCAAATTGGTAATTATTTATAACTTGTAAATTATTTATTAAATATTAAAATAAGGTTAATAATATTATTTTTTTTAATATTTATTAAAGTTGGAGTTCAACATCAGATTATACCATCTTTATTTAATGATGAGACTTTTTGTGATCATCAAGTTGAAGATGCTGGAAAGCATATATTTAAAAGTAAGTAAATCAATCAATCAATCAATCAATCAATCAATCAATCAATCATTCAATCATTCAATCATTCAATCATTCAATTTATCTATTCATCCATTGATTTAATTTTTTAGATGAGCTCTATCCTAAAAGTAGAAACAGACTTGTAAATGTTTTGATGAAAGCATTTGGTGAAATTAGTAATGAAAAAGAGGAATTCTTTAACTCATTGATTCCATATTTTACAGAAGAAAAATTACAAAAGGATTCAACACTGTGGGAAGAAAGATCTAACCCAAATTTTATGTATGTGGTGGAGGAAGGACAATTGAGCATCACACGAATTTCAGCAGAGAATAATAAACCAGAACAAATAGAGAGAATATTACCACTTGCTGTGGTGGGCGAAATGGGATTTTTCACTGATAAACCACGACGAACAAATTTGGTGACAATAACTCCATGTGTCCTATGGGTAATGAATCGATCTGCTTATGCAAGAATGATGGATGACAATCCCATTTTAGGATTCAATTTTATGAGATCGACAATGAAATTATCTGTAGAAAGGTTAAATCATTACCATTATGATTATTATAACAAAAATTAAAAAATAAAATATATAACTACACTTGCTGGGTGTGAGATTCCCAATTAAATTTTATTCAAGTAATATCAATAATTGCATACATGTGTGAATAATTAATAATAATAATTCTATATATTTGTAATTGATTAGATGTCAATGTGCACTTTAGCCATTAAGAATGATATACTTTCCTTTTGACAAATTAGATCATAATTTAATTTGTGTTGGGAAAGAAACCCTGTGGATTGTATTTATTACCTTGATATTACTGAATTGATGGAGTATCCCTGGTGGATCCATTTTAAGATTGATTGTTCAGTTTTATGGTGGAATATTTGTGATTTGTTGCTATTTTTATTATTATTATTTTTATTATTATTATTGTTTTTAATGTTGTTGTTGATATAGCAAAATCGAGCAACTTCAAACCACCAAGGCTTTTTTTTATTAATAAAATTGAAAAAACTCTATTCCGTTGTTGCTTAGGTTCTAAAGATTACAAAAATAGATTTTTTTTCAATTTTATTAATTGAAAAAAAGCCTTAATGGTTTGATGTCTTTGGATGACCTACACCATTGCCTCATTTTTTCTTTGAAATATTGTACATGATGATTTAATACGGCGAGGTGTATTACTTTCCGTAGGAAAATTAAAATTTTCCTTATTTGTTTATCTTGTGGACAATTTCCGAAAGGTTACAATTCTATCCCTCAGTTCGTAGGGATAGAGCCTTAGCCTGGGAAAACATATAAGAGGGATACCCTCCCTTATCAATCTTATCGATCTTTGGGTATCGGTCGGGATAATTCACTCAAGATCTATGGACCAGGTGATCAGAGATATATCCGTGCATTTATATTTATCCCTCGCCAGGCTAAAGCTGTATCCCTCTGAACACATGGATAAAGGTCAGACCTACCTGGAAATCGTCCGCATATGGTGCAGAGACTATCTCAGTTTCTATTTTTAGAAGGGGCTTTCCAGACTTTACGGTATAGGATTTTTTTATTTACAATGTTATTATTAAGAGTAATGAATGTTATTGAGAATTCAAGGTGTTCAAATACTCCTTAATGATTCGCTAAAATAGTAAAGATAATGAATGATCATGAGTTATTCTGACGAATGAGTAGAAGCCCAGACACTTCTGTCTCTTAAAGCAAAAATCCATTGTAGCTTCTATCATTATTTTGAATTAAAATTCTTTTTGAACCGTTTTAAGTTAATTAATAAATAAAATATCAGATAAAGAAATAAATATATAAAAAAAAAATAATAAATGAAATAAATGGTTGTTACACGGTGATTCATTTTGCGTAATCATAATAGTTAATATTAATCTTAACCTTAATATCAACATATTAATATTAACAAAAATCATATTATCATTTTCTTTTAGTGCAACAAATATTAAAAACCGCAATTCTAAACTCTTTTAATAACTCTCGGATTGTTAAATATAATTTTCTCACTTCTTTTCAATAAAAACCATGTATACTAACAATAAAAACAAAAGTACGTATCTTTCCTCAAACGAAGGTAAAATCTTTAATTTAAAATATCTACAAGAATACTAATAATCCACGTATCTAATAAGGTTTTGGAGAAACTAGCGCAGCAGCGGGAAATCATCTGAACTGCGATCATCATTGCCACACTTGCAACTACAATAATAATAATAATAATTGTAATTCGAGTAATTTGACTAGGATGCTACAATTACCGCCACAACCTGGCCTTGGACAACCACCATTGCCGCCACCATTAACAGTACGACCGGTACCAAATACAATGCTGCGCTATAATCTACCACCACAAACAGATTATCATTACCTGTTTCAACAACAACAACAACAACACAAAATAGTGGATATGTCGAAAATGATAGCCGGGCAAAGTATAAATAAACCAGATTCCGTAAATGAAAACTCATCACTTAAAGATAGTCTACATGGGTACATCGGTGATTACAGTACTGAAACAACAAGATTGATAGAGGAAGAAGAAAAATACCGGGATTCAAAACCAGAAACAAAGATTTGTTGCTTTTCATCGCAAAATTACAACGTAGTTTCAGACATAAAAAAAGAACTCAAAAACGTGATGACAAAACCACCATTATACCGTTACGTCTTCATGTTTGTACCATTAAATATCATACATGGAGTAGCATTTGGTAATTATTAATAATATAATGAAAGTATATATCAGTAAGAGTTAAATATAAACTTGCCAATTTAATTTTTTTAAAAAATGAAAAAACAAGGTATTATATTGTTTCCTGCCCATGATCACTATAAAAATAAAAACAAAATGTCATTTGAAAAATATAAATATATTGGCATGACGATGTTTTTTACGAGGTAAATTATATAATGATAATGGTTCACTTTAATTTGAATTTGTTTAATTGGCTAATGATTTGCATCTTTGTCAATAAAGTTGTATTATTTCAAAAGTCGTAAATTCAATTTTTGGTAACCTTCAAGGAGGAAATGGTACAATGATAATACAATGTAAGTTTTTTTTAGAAGAAAAAAATTAGAAATCAAATTATTCGTAATTT